CATGGAAATTTGCTTAGGCCGAACACTAGTATGGATGTAGATGCATAAGCCCCATCAAAAGTTGCGTATACGTACGGTGACCATTCGTTCCGATTTTGGCAGGACAGTACCGATTTTGAGAAAATTTTCCGCTAAATATTTTTCAGATTTTCCTTTCTTAATTTAATAAGAGTTTTCCTGTACACTGGTCAAAAAAAAAATTTTTCGTACATACGTGACAGCACTTTCGTTATCACAAAGGACATAGAATATAAGAGAGCCATAAACATAGCCAGCATGTTAGTTTCTTCGATCTTTGGTTATGTTTTATTTTGTCAAACTGGTACTCTCGCTATATTGCAGTCTATCATTCTTCTCTCAATTTTTAAAAAAGTTTATATTTCCGACTTCAAAAAAAGAAGGTTATCAATTCATCGTAATATATTTGTTTATGCATGTTACCCGCATAATGTTGAGCCATGTTAACCGGAAAGGTACTCCCTTACTAATTTGGTTTAGGTCCGATCATTATATAATTAAGAACTTTTTTTTAGTCGGCCGCTGTGGTGCAGTGGTAAGCAGTGCGCGCTTCCACTCCGCAACGCCTGGGCTCAAGCCCTGGTCAAAGCAACATCGCAAAAAAATATAGAAAAAAGGTTTTTTCTTAACAGCGGTCGTCCCTCGGCAGGCAATGGCAAACCTCCGAGTGTATTTCTGCCATGAAAAACAGCTTCTCATAAAAATACAATCGCCGTTCGGAGTCGGCGTAAAACTGTAGGTCCCTCCGCTTTGTGTGACAACNTCGGTTTTGTTTTTTGCTTAAAAATAACTTGTATAATTATTTGCTAAGTTTTTTTTGTTTTTTAATGTAACAACTCTAACTTGAATTTAGTAGCTAATTCTCTCAAAAAAATATAAGCTGTAGATACAGTGTCGAAAATATTAAGAGGGAAGAGATAACTTAGCATTCTTATATATATTATATATATTGTGTACATTTTTGCGATAATTTTTCAAGTTTTTCTCTTTGATTTGTTTTTATTTAAATAGAACTGTATTAAAAGATGTTATGTCTTATTATTATTAAAACAAAATTGTAGGTTCGGATTCGATGCTTTAGAAATGTCCCGATTTTTTGCCACAGAAATCTGGTCACCGTACGTATNAATTTAGAAATGTCCCGATTTTTTGCCACAGAAATCTGGTCACCGTACGTATACGTCATGAGTTTCAGTGTATTTGTACTTAAATTTAATTCGGAGTAATTTAGTACTAAAATTTTAGTTGTACAAATGAAGACTTCAGTAATTTCTTAATCTAATTAATTAATAATCTAAATTGTTTTGTTAACAGTTACACTTGGCCAAATATTTTTAAGTCCGAAATAAAAGTATTTTTCGGATAATAAACAAACCGCTTATCCAAGTTTGATACACTGAAATGTCCAAACGAGGAAAGCCACCTATAAAAAAAGTAACTAATAGAAAAACTGTTACAAGTGGATGCATTTCTATTCAATTTCTTAAGAGAAAACAGTCAGCAACGTAAGCATAGATACCAATCATAACTACCTGTATTTTTTAAAGAATCTGAAATTTTTTTCAATTACAATGGCACCTTGCTTTTTATAATATACATGACTAACAGCCGGTTTCACCAAATTTTTTCATTGATAATTAACTCGGATTTAATTTTAATTTTAATTTTTATTTAACTTTGTACTTAAGTTTCCTGCGTTTCACCATTATTCAGATTTGGCAACCCAAAAATCTAAAAGCAGGGATGTTAGTAGAAATAACAGCTGATTTATGTAAACAAATAAATTGTGGTGTTATATTAGAAAAGTTCAAAATGGAAAGTGCAGCTCGAACCAAAAATTTTTCAGGAGATGAAATCAGTACTTTGGTAAGCCTAGTGCGGAAAAATGCAAATATTTTGGAGTGTAAAGCTACGGGGAGAGTGCGTCTCGATCAAAAAGAAAAGGCATGGGAAAATGTAGCGGAGAGTTTCAACTCGATGTGCTCCGGAGCACCACGGTCAGCAAAAAATCTGCGAACAAAGTATTTGAACTTGAAAGCAGACATGAAAAAACGATCTGCAGACCAGAAAAAGTATGCATATGGGACGGGCGGAGGTCCATCCAGAGAGCCAGCTGCTTCCAGTATTGACATATTACTAAGTGAGATATTGCCGGAGAAACAAGTGCAGGGAATGGAGTCCAAATGCGACAACGACTTCCTACCATTCGATAAACATTCTGCAGATTTGGATCATTCAGGTATGTACACAGTTGCAAATTACCAAATGATAATTATGACTAACATGTACATTTATGTATGTTTGGCCTTTTAACAGTTGGAACTGATCCTCAGCAGCGAAATGTTCAAAGCGAGCAAGTAGTGCAAAGCCAAACGATGGAAGAAGAAGGTGGTATAATGAAGTTTCTTTATTGAAGTAGCAAGACATCAATTAATAAATATCACAAACTATTCACAGATTGTGTAATCGATGATATGGGCTTGCGTGAACAATCAACAAGCAAAAGGCTCGTGCTTCAACCCCAAATCATACATCTGAAAAAGATGGTAACAGCAAATGTTTTATAATTTTAAAATTCTAATTACATACTTGTTTGTTTGCAGATTATAGAGCCTTGGGAGCACTACACACCAATGCAGTTGAAAACGCCTAAAAACAAGAAGCTTTGCACTGAAAGTGTAAACAGAAAACACACAAGTTGGCAAAGCTAGCAGAAATAAAGTCCAAATGGACGGAAATAAAACTGAAAGAAGAAGTGGAATTTGCGAAAATCGAGCACACCTTACGTATTACGCAAATGAAAGAAGTACACGAACTACAAAAACAATTTGCATCTGAGAAGCATGCCCTTGAAATGCGAATACTTTCGGATAAACTCAAAACAATTGAAAAACTTAATTTTAACCCCTAGGTTAAAAAAAATATGAATTGTAGCGCTTTGAACGGTCTTAACTACTTTTACAGTTTGTTTAATATCAATTAATTATTTAGAAAATTATTGCTCATTTCATGCATTATTTAATACATTTATTTCGTTTCATACACTGATTTTATGCCAAAATTAGAAAAATTCCACAAACTTTCCATCACAGTTCCAAGGTTTTTAATTCGAATTTCGAGAACCCTTTTGGTATGCAGTTTTATAGCTATAACAAATTTGAATGCAATAAGCTGCATGTTTGTAGTTTCTAGAAAATCCCGTTTTTTTTTATATTTTTTTTTTGTTGACGGTATCAAGCATTTTCTTTCATACAAAGTACCTTTTTATATAGAAGAAAGTGCATAACCCCGTCACCAAAAAAATATAAAAAATCAACGGGATTTTCTAGAAACTTCAAACATGCAGCTTATTGCATTAAAATTTGATAAGCCATAAAACTGCATACCAAAAAGGGTTCTCGAAATTCGAATTAAAAACCTTGGAACTGTGATGGAAAGTTTGTGGAGTTTTTCTAATTTTGGCATAAAATCAGTGTATGAAACGAAATAAATGTATTAAATGAATGCATGAAATTAGCAATACTTTTCTAAATAATTAATGAACATTAAACAAACTGTAAAAGTTTGTAATTTTTGTAATACTTTGTTGAATTTTTTTTAACTTTCGAACAAAGTTTCAATTTTGAATTTATTTGGTTTTCGTTTTGTATATCGATGGCTGAGTGGAAGATAGACCTATCTCAGAAAACTTGTCAAGAGCACTCTACTGCAGAATTTTATTGAAAACATCCTATCTCAAAATTTGGTTGAAGAACGTCCTATCTCAGAATTCGGCTCAAAAAAGCCCCATCTCAAACGAAAATACATTGAAAATGTGCTGAGATAGAGCGTTTTTGAATCGGCAGCTGACCGAATTCTGAGATAGAGCGTTCTTCAACTAAATTTTGAGATAGGATATTTTCAATAAAATTCAGAAATAGGGCGTTCTTGAAAAGTTTTCTGAAATAGAGCGTTGTTGAAAAGTTTTCTGTGATAGGGCGTTTTCGAACTGGCTGCCGAGATAGGTCGATCTTCCACTCATATATGTGCCTTATCAGTATTAACAAATGTATATAAGTACTAGAATGTGTATCTGACTTTTAAATATGTAGATACAATTTTTTTTTGAATAATTATATAAAAGATATTTACAAGCATACATATGTGCCCTATCAGTATTTAATATAAATACTAAAATGTGTTCCTTAATTAAAAAAAAGAAGTTATAAAGATGTTTATTTTTTTAATAATCAAAAGAAATTTACAAGCATTAGAAATAGTTTTGTATTATATGGTTTCTATATAAAATGTCATTTCGACCTGAAGTTGGGATTATGGGTACTTCAACAATTGCATCGATGATATTATTTATTTCATTTTCGTAGACTGCTGGTGCGACACAATCGTTGTTTAAGCTGCAAATGTTATGTAAAACTGCGGTTGCAACGATTATACATTCCACTTCCCTGAGATTCATTCGTATTCCCAGCGCAAGAACTGGAAATCTTCGTTTCCACACACCGTATTGACGTTCAACACAATTACGAGTTCTGATTTGCGATTCGTTATATAACGCCTCAGCCGGAGTTTGTACTTTTAACAAAGGTGTCATTATCCACCGATTGCAAGGGTAGCCACTGTCGGCAACGACTATTGCATTCCCGAACTCCCCTGCTTCAAATCGGCTAAATATTCTTGAATTTTTAAGTATTATTGCGTCATGTGACGATCCTGGCCAACGGGCTACGATGTCCATGATGTTCAGTTTGCTGTCACGTAGCGTTTGCACATTAATTGAAAAGTAGTTCTTTCGGTTTCGGAAGAGTTACGCTTCATCCCCACTTAAATAGTGACGCATTTTAGATAATCCTCATTAGTTGAAATTATTTAATGTACTGACCTGGAGATAGTACTCTTATATGTGTGCAGTCCATGGCAGCTAGCACGCGTGGAAACTTTGCCGTTTTATAAAATTGTCTCTGAATTTCTCTTTGGCTTTCTAATTCCAAGGGGACTTTTATAAATCGTTGTCTTAACAATGCAATGTTGTGACACACTCTCCTTATTGCGCGACAGGAAGAACTTTTTGAAACGCCACACAGGTCACCGCCAGTTCTTTGCATGCAGCCAGTTGCAAAGAAACGCAGTGTTAGTAAAAGCATTACTTCGGGAGAGATCGCACCGTTTCTACAATATTTATCAAAAAATAGCAGAATTTGTAATCGAAGGTACTTTAATGTTTACTTACTTGTTAGTTTTGTGCCGAATTCCGTTCCTAATCAGTTCAAGTACCATCCAAGCTGATTGTTTAGCCAAACGAAACCTATACCGAAAGTCAACTTCATCATAATATGTAAAACAATTACGTCGTTCCCTCATTATACGAGGACGACGATTTATAAAATTATTTATTAAAATTTCGCACTCCATATCACTTTCGTCTTCAGATTCCATTTTTTACAATATATTTATCTTCTGCTACTTTCAAATCAGCTGATAGAAAAACGTGAACATAGCTGCATATCATCGTATTTAAATAATATTTAAATGGGAAAAGGTGACCATTTAAATAAAAATTAAGTCAAATGGTGAAACTGAAAAAAATAATTTTTCACTTAAATTGCTTTCGTGAAACTGGCTGTAAGAGTCCTATTAAAATACTTCTAGAATTTTCCAAAAGACTTGAAAGAAGAAGAAAGCGATATATCGTGAGGTACTTAAGTTCAAATTGCAAGCATCAATATAAATATACATATGTATGTACATATAGATACTTTAGGGCAATTTTATCAAGTAGGTTTTAAAATTTTTCTGCCCTTTAATTACAAACTGTGTACTAAATAAATGTGTTTAAAGCGCAATTACATTGTAAAACCTACTTAAGAAAACGGCCCTTAGAGTGAAAAGTTGTCCAATGTTTTTCTTAAACACTACATATTTTGATGTACGAAGCAAGAGAAATTAAAAATGCACCATTTCGGAAGGGTTTGAGGTACATATGTACTTGTTTTATATTTTCTCGTTAATATTCAATAAAATTCTAATTTTCTAAGTCGAAAAGAGGCTCCGAAAATCCGATTATGCCATAATAATATGGATTTTTTTATACAGATCGAATCTTTTTGATTCTTATGGAGTTTTGCTTTGCTTTAAATACGCATTTAAGTTTTGCGAAATACTTGAAGAAAAACTTATTAGAACTTTTTTTTCCTCTTTTCTAAAATTTTTAAAAATTGACTTAGGAAGTTTTCACTCTAAGTTAGCGATATGCTATTGTCAAGAGTGCATTCAGCATAAATAAAGCTACATCTTCAAAGAAAGGTATACCCATGGATATATGAACAAGTCTCAAAAACAAACAATTAAATGTATAAAGAAAGGAATTCTTGCTATTTTTAGAAGTTTAATTAAAAGACTTTAACTTTAGTTTTTGAATTTGCATATATCAGTTGATAAAAAGTCAGAGCAAAGTAGACAGCGAGTACATTCCATGCCAAAATACACACACAAACAACTCAGTCAAACCAAACCAAATCAACTTATGTATGTATGTACATTCTTACACACACACATAGGAAGGAAGACTCTGTGGAAAGAAGTGCAGCGCCGTCGTCGTCAGCGTCGTCCTTAACTCAAATAAACCAAACAAACGTAACAATTAAAATATGCACAACACGAGTAAACACATTTTCACGGAGCAAATATCCTTAAGGACAAATTCACGAGCGCATGAAATGTATTTAAAATAAGGCGATGACGGCGCCAGCAACAGCAACAGCCACAACAACAGCAACAACAACAGCAATGCGATTTCTACAAAAGGAACAAACACTGAGAAAGAAAGTAGAGCAGACGGTTAAGCGTTAGCACGAGCTGGGGTAAAATATGTAATACGGGCACAGAAGACGGCATTGCAAAGACGCCACACCGTGGAAACATGTAGTAGGTACAAAGGCACAAGGTAAACAATTTTCAAAAATACGTTCAATTTGGCAACTTAAAAGGGAATACAAGTGAGTAAGAAATAAGCAGATTTAATAGACGTAGAGGCAGTCAGAGGTAAGTAAGCGAGTGCGTGGTAACAGATGCAGAACAGAACGTTTGACGCACAGGCCCACAGCAGCAACTGGCGCATGAATGCTTCGAAGACGTGCAGCAATCGAGCAATCGCTTGAGTTAAGTTGCTTACAAGGATTAAAGAGTCACTTAAGTTAACTGGCAAAAAGACGTTTACTTGAGTATTTATAAATGTATTTAAGTGGAATTTTTCTNGTCTCAAAAACAAACAATTAAATGTATAAAGAAAGGAATTCTTGCTATTTTTAGAAGTTTAATTAAAAGACTTTAACTTTAGTTTTTGAATTTGCATATATCAGTTGATAAAAAGTCAGAGCAAAGTAGACAGCGAGTACATTCCATGCCAAAATACACACACAAACAACTCAGTCAAACCAAACCAAATCAACTTATGTATGTACATTCTTACACACACACATATGAAGGAAGACTCAGTGGAAAGAAGTGCAGCGCCGTCGTCGTCAGCGTCGTCCTTAACTCAAATAAACCAAACAAACGTAACAATTAAAATATGCACAACACGAGTAAACACATTTTCACGGAGCAAATATCCTTAAGGACAAATTCACGAGCGCATGAAATGTATTTAAAATAAGGCGATGACGGCGCCAGCAACAGCAACAGCCACAACAACAGCAACAACAACAGCAATGCGATTGCTACAAAAGGAACAAACACTGAGAAAGAAAGTAGAGCAGACGGTTAAGCGTTAGCACGAGCTGGGGTAAAATATGTAATACGGGCACAGAAGCCGGCATTGCAAAGACGCCACACCGTGGAAACATGTAGTAGGTACAAAGGCACAAGGCAAACAATTTTCAAAAATACGTTCAATTTGGCAACTTAAAAGGGAATACAAGTGAGTAAGAAATAAGCAGATTTAATAGACGTAGAGGCAGTCAGAGGTAAGTAAGCGAGTGCGTGGTAACAGATGCAGAACAGAACGTTTGACGCACAGGCCCACAGCAGCAACTGGCGCATGAATGCTTCGAAGACGTGCAGCAATCGAGCAATCGCTTGAGTTAAGTTGCTTACAAGGATTAAAGAGTCACTTAAGTTAANTTTTGACGCACAGGCCCACAGCAGCAACTGGCGCATGAATGCTTCGAAGACGTGCAGCAATCGAGAAATCGCTTGAGTTAAGTTGCTTACAAGGATTAAAGAGTCACTTAAGTTAACTGGCAAAAAGACGTTTACTTGAGTATTTATAAATGTATTTAAGTGGAATTTTTCTCTTTTCGAAGCAATGGTGCAGCAGGTTAGCAATTTTTTTCATTTCTTGTAGATATAAAATGGTAAATAAAAGAATATATGGAGCGAGAATGAATCGTGTAGTTTTAAGAGTCATTGTGGAATTACATGGATGGTTACTTATATTTTTCATTTCACTCATGACCACTCGTATACTTATGAAATGTGTCTAAACCAAACCAAACCAAATTCCCAACAAATCAAAGTAGCGGCTTATGTCGACGATGTACATATATGTAAATGTTTGAATCGGATCATTTTCCTTCGGTTATATGCCCAATTACACTGTAGGGAAAATCTCAAGTTTTGAAATGCCACAAAAAAACGCCGAGAGCTTAATTATTGGTTATAGATTATGGATCTGTATACCATTTTCACAGATCAGACAATTTTCTCAAGATATTCTCATTTTTATAAAAAAAAATCGAACTTTAACAAGGAAAAATTAAGAACCCTAAAATTTGTTGTTATTTGTGATACAGCCTTTTGTGTTGCCAAAAAATTAAGCTACCAACGATGAAAATCGGTAGATAAATAAACCATTTTTGAATGGTTAAATAAAAATGTAGAAATATTTATTATGAAATAGAAGCAGAAAATAATGTTGCTCATTCGCCATATCGTACATGGCAGTACTTAAGCATAATCATATATGGCTTATGAGTTAAATTTTTTTAAATAAAATCTGAATTTTTGTTCATTCGCAATGCTGACTTAAAATGAAAATATCTTGGGAAAATTACCTTATCTAGAAACATGGTATACAGATCCGTAATCTAGTACTCAAAATAAAGTTTACGTGTCTCGGGGTTTTTTATTGCCATTTTAGGGTGCCTAAGGTGTATGGAGGGAACTCTGGTGAAAGTAGATTCCTGGAGCATTTATTTTTCATTTCGTGTGAATTCTTTACAAAGAAGACAAAATTACCTGATGAAACCTATATTCATTGCAAACCTAATTGGATCTCTCATAAAGGGTTAAATATCTCGGATTTTCTCTGGATAACAAGCCTGAACACTGAGGAGTGACCATATGCATTCAAAATAAGTATAGACAATTGAATTATACACGGCAATAGTACAACCCATACGTTCATATGTAGCTCAGTTCTTGTGGCCAGCAATAATTTAAGTATTAGCGAAACTTAAATGGTAGTTGTTATTGGTGCCACGGGTGCAAACAGGTGCTAACCAACTGGGGGTGTAAAGGTGGACTCGATTTATTGCCTACAAATTTCATCGGAAATTCAGCTGCTCCAGCGCAATTAGAAGATGAATTTTAGGTTAATGAAGAGAAAGCACATTTGCACACAGTGCCACTCTTAACAAGTTTTTGCCTTAAAATGCACAATTTTTGTCGAATTTACATAAAATTTGTACACATTAAAATTTTTGTTGCTCCAGGGAACTTATATCGCGAAAATGAAAGTTATATCTGCTAATCATAAGTTGCTAGAGCACTTTAAAAATTCTGACTGAAAATTTACCCCAAAATAAGCTAACATTTACCATTGTTTCTGCGACAGAAACCGAATTGGTTAATTATAAAAATTAATCTGTCGATAGGTTCGGAGTTTTACCTTTGGAACGCCGCACTAAGCGTTTTCGTGAAGCTCTAAAAATTATAACTACAACACTTGAGCATAGCCTTCGTATCAAAACTTAAGACTTATTCTACGTCAAAAACAGTAATAAGATTGGCAAAATTTGCTGATGCTCATGAAAGGTATGAAGCCTTCTGCATAGCCGTAGAAAGCGCGGTCCTTACTTGCTTTATTTCATTCAAGGCACTTATTGAAATATTGGAGTAAATTATGGGCCTAATAGCATTTTCACTTCTCATCCGCATCGACTTACTTAAAATCACCGGCGATGGGAATCAAAGCAAGGCGCAACGCCCCCTAAATCTGTACGTTCGGGACAACTCCTGCGAAATGGCACTGTAACCCTACTGTAAAGCCGGCACT